CGCACAGCAAGAAACACTGTGCCTTTTGCCTCACTTTGTATGTTGCCAGGCTGAATATTGATGACAAGAGCATGTTTCCGACCCTATAGGGGAAGGCTAGAGGGGAGGGGATGGCAGGGGGAGGTCCTCTTTGTGTAGGAAATCGCGATTTTAGCAGAGGGCTGCGGCCATCTGCGTAAGGCGGGGTGGGAGGAAGATGTTAAAGCCTGCGCATGCAGTAATAGTAAGGAGTGTTGTGTAGATCCCAGGATAAGTGAGGAACCAAAATGGCGGGAATTGCTGGGCTCCAAATGCTCTGGCGGGTACGATGGGTCTAGTACACCGGTGTGTCTCTGACCGGGGTGGCCTCTTGTCTTCCTCTGGTCCTAGTGGCGTGGAGTCCGCTGTGAAATGGGATATAGGGTGCGAGAAGGGTGTGCTCATTAAAGACCTGGCATGATGGCGAAGAAACTTATGGAAGGGGGGCGAACAGGGGGCGGGCGGCTCGAAGTGGAGAGGGAGGAGGGAAGAGCAGGCAAAGAGCAGCCATGCATCGACCTGTGTCGAAAAGGTGAGGGCGACGCTTCTTAGAGCTATGTCGCGCTCCTAATGAATATGGGATGTTAAAGGAGAAGGTAATACCAAATAATGCGTACCGGTTAAAAGCGTGACCACATGTCTACAGCGGAGGAGAGTCACAATCCTAACTCCGACGTGATGTCGGGATATCGATGAAGTCGGTTGTGTGGGTACGGGGAAAGGAGACATGACTTTCCTGGAGGCCCGAATAGTCCAACAATAAAGAATAAGCAAACAAATTACGCCAGGTCTCTGCTTTTGTAAGTCACCATATATGCTCCATTCTCTGTTAAAATAAGTGCCTTCGGTTGGGGTGGTGGGGGAAGCCACGCGTTTCCATTCGGAACGTGGACTGGCATCCGCAGTGTAGATGTCGATACCCTCAGATGATGTGTACTTGCTCTAACAATTCAGCATCACAGTTTCTTACTCCTGTCATCATTACCCGTGGTGACCATGCGATGCGCATGTAGAACATGGAAATGAGCATCAAAAGAACACCTGGAAATAAATTTTCTAGTCCAAAATTCTGAGTGATTTTCGTCCTTTCACTAATGTCAAAAATAGCCCTTTCTCGTAGTATGTTTCCTAAGAACTTGAAATCTCACGTTGCTACGCGTAAAATTCAGCTTGTCATTCTCTCCGTGCTCGAGAATTTAGTGGAACCCTTCTCAATAGTGCAATACTGGTCTAGTTGAAATAGCTCTTAAACCACCTGGTAGCCTACAATAAGCATATGATTTTCATATAATTTATTTAATTCTCATCAGTAAAGGCCAAGAAAACCGTAAACAAAGCAACAACTTTATCAGTTTAACCTCCCCAGTGAGCACCCTGCCTGGCAGTGCCTTCTCCGTCGCACATGACTAGCCGAGAACGCCGCCAAGCGCCTGTAGAGATGAGTCGAAGGAATTTTCAGATCTCGTGCTATTCACAAAAAAAGACGCATCATATCCCCGTCACGCACAGGACCATTTCTGTGTCTTTTTTTTCTACAGCTGTCCTCTTGTGGAGACGCTTGTCATCCTTTCCCCCGGTCACCTCGGCAACCTTTTACTCCCTGTCCGCAAGAGGCGGGTTGCAGACGTCAGCATTTGCGCCCTCATCTTTTTTGCTTCATAATCCCGCTTTGGCAGGCACAAAGGGTAAATATCCAGCAAGCGCACGTGGTGGTTGGACAATAATGCCGTCCAGCAAATCATCGTCATCGTCCTCATCGAAGAAAGGTGCTGAAGCTGTCGCCAAGTCGATTCAAGACCCCAAGCCCGCCAAGGAATCGACAGACTCGTCATCGAAAAATCAGAGGAAGTCATCTCGAAAACGAGATCCAGTGGATTATAACGAGGAACACGTCGTCGTGCAAGAAGAAGCAGGAGCATCGGAGACTACCAAGAACAAGAAACCTCGCCGTGACACTCCAAAAGTGTTCTCAGAACGTCAACAGGAACCTTCGCGAGACTCAAAAGGCGTGCTCCACTTTAAGGACCACCCGGAATTTCTGCCGAATCTCACGCCGAAAGAAGTGTTGCGTGCGGGAAGTTTTGGTGGAGGGTATTTTCGTCCCATACACAGCTCAGTGACGGGAGAGGACTACTCGGACGCCCACAAGGAGTTCCCCAGCGACTGGTTTGAAGGCTTGGACATGAAGCGCATGATTACGTCCAAAACCTACCGGCCCGACATCAACACGTACGGGGTCAAATGCGGTGGCTCTCTGGAGATGTGGGAGAGCAGCGGGTGGATTACACCCGTCGATCCGTACGGCGCCTTTCAATGGTAAGGCAGGGCCTGTTGCTCCCAGCATTTGTCATCCCGCCACAAAGCTACCTCTCTTTGATAAACTTAAGGGGAGATAAGACTGTGTGAGTGGGACTTGTCGTGAGAGTCACCTGGCCTTTCCCCCTGCATTCGCTTAGGTACTGCCGCTTTTTCCTTGGCCGGCGCTCGGAAGACGACGCCCGGCAAATCGGTCGTTTTAACCAAGTAATGGGACCAACAGGGCGTTTTCGCACGAACCTAATGAATCAGATCGTCAGGAAGGGGAAACGCTTCGACGACGTGAATGTCTCGCCTGTCATCCGGCAGACGCTACAGCACTGGGGGTACAGACTCACCGAGGTAAATGCTGTGTCCACGGAGGCCACGCCAGATATTGATGTGCTCCAGTCAGCCAGTAAGACTTACTTAAAGCTAATTGCTACTCGCAGAGGCACATTTTCCATGCCCATGCTATCCATTCCATGTCTTATCGGAGGCCCTGCACAAACCGCGATAACTCATCTCACAAATTGATTGGTCACCCTCCCATGGACGAATACACTCCTTCTAACAGGCAGACTTCAAAGCGTACTGCAAGAAAAAAGGCTTTGAGTGCCCCACTTGAGAATGAATTGGCGAGAATGACAATAATCTTGCTGGATCGCCCGTTCTTAGACGCAGACTGACGGCCTGTGTGAAACGGCGCGGTAGAATGGGACCAAGGAGTGACGACTGTCACCCAAGGTGGGACGCCGCGGTGTGCATTTCGGGAAAGAGAGAAGAAGGTGGAGGTACGAATGCCAGTGGGTCATTTTAATGATTAAAGACTACCGGAGGCATACGCGCCACGCAGGGTGCTGGAAGTCGCAAAGATTTGATTCTCCTTCCAATCATTGAAGGAGTCTTCGCTTAGAGCGGCAAGGGAACACATGGGAAAGCTATGTACATACAAGACGTAGCGTTGTCATACCTTTATTTACTCAGATTAACAGATCGGTGGTTGGGTGCTCAACATAAATAAAAAAAATTAAGACATAGCCAACCTGACTATTTTCCGCGGCAGTTGATGTTGATCATTTTGAATCCTTGTTCTAGTCATTACTGTGTGCCTGGCCTGCTCCCATCCAACTACCCGCTTTTCCGCCCGAAGGTGCGGGTTTTCCGCTTTCTTCGCACGGAACTCACAGGCCTCTTCCCATGGTTTGCCTTCTTTCCTCTCCTAGCATTGCGATTCAGGCAATCGAACTCCTCCACCCAACTGTCTGAAGGTATTAGACGGGGACCTGGGAACAATCGGTATAAGATTGCCGAGAGCGGGCCGTACGAAAGAGAACTGGGCTGATTCGGCACTGGTAGACGGTTCAAGCTGGAACTATGGATGTGAGAGTACATGGAGACTGAGTCTATGACATGTGTCCATGAAGATATAGAAATATTCCCAAAATGACAAAGAGTATCCATGGTGCCACACTTTCCTCGGTATTATGACACCTGAGAGAGAAAATTTGACAAAACAATACACCCTGGGCGATAAACAGGTACCAAGCCTCCACGTTATCGCACGAAGTCACAGGTTTCTACGAGTGAAACATGATTCGTGCAGCTTTTTGGCACATCGACACCAGTTACGAAATGTCCTCGGCCCGTCACTGGACAAGCCTAATTTTTGGCCTCCAATTTGCCCCTGCATACCTGAAGCACTGTGTCTGCAGGCTTTTGCCTAACCCTGAACACCACCTTGTTCTCCTGGTGGTGGCCGTGAAAAAATGCGCGCCCTGTCGTAAGAAAGCCATTCTGACCAACAGAGGTTTGGACGGATTGTGCTGTGAGTTTGACAGGATAGTAACACTCAACACACGTCTGCGTGCGGTGGCACGATTTCTTCTTACGAGCCCCGCAAGCTTTGCCAAGGCCCGCTTGTCACATTGGAGCATTGGACGGGCAGCGCGTTTCTCCATCGCTTAATCCTCTTCCTTGTTTACGTAATTTCCACTTTCCCTCGCCCGTCGGCTCGCGAGTTCGAGGACGCCAAATGAATATTGGATGCGAGGAGAAATCATCGGGCAATTAATATTCATGACCATTGAAGTTCGCAAATTCTCGGAAAATATTTGGTGGTGCTTCTGCGACGGTCGCACAACGTACGAATGCATGGCACGCTTGTGCGTGAGTACGTTGTGCGGGCTGTGGGGTTTTTGGTTAACTTTCCACGGGGTATCGCTCTCGGAAGCATTCTGCATTCCCGAGCGCGATGCAACCCTCGCACAGCAAGAAACACTGTGCCTTTTGCCTCACTTTGTATGTTGAACTGACGGGGAATTAACAAAATCATCACACGTTTATGGCAACGAATGCATTGCACGCGGAAGATCGACAGGGAAGGCTCGTCGACGTCGTTTTTTGGGTTGACACGTACTCTGTCGCGGTCTTACCTGTCTTCTCACTGCTTCACTCAAACTTCACTTTCGATCCCATGTCAGTCGACGAGCTGGGCGTTTGTGGGGAGGACGATGAGCATGTTGACCCATTCTCTTGGTAATCTGCAAATGCCATCAACCAAGAGCAAGGGCCGGTATCAATTGACGCTGGAGCAGAAAGAAGAATTCACGACCAGTTTTCAACTATTCGACACGGATGGTAAAGGAGCAATTGATCTACATGAGCTCAAGGTACGGTTCTCGGGTACATTCCAATGTCTAAGTGTGTCAATATATTCTTGTTGTTCTACTCTGTTTCGAGGCGCCACCCTCTTGACTTCAAAATTCCTGTGTAGGTCTTGGAATATTTGGAACTGACTTATACTAGCGTGACTGAAATGCTAATGATTACGATAATGAAGATCCCATTTAGTGTAAGGCTCGGGGTTATACTTATTTTTTGGGTTTGAACAAGACATTCCCGATCCGTCCTTTGTCGCACCACCGACGCCTGCTCTATATCTGTCGACATCCCTCCCAGGTACTCATGCGGGCTCTGGGCTTCAACATTCCCAAACGGGAGGTAGTGGCCCTGGTCCGAGAGATCGACCCGACGAACCATGGCATGGTATCGTTTGATACCTATCTGGAAGTCATGACCGACATGGCCTCGCGCCGCGATCCGCTCGAGGAGATGAAAAAGGCCTTCCTGCTCTTTGCCGGCGACAAGGACGTTATCAGCGTGCAAGACCTGAGGAGGGTGTCCAAACAATTGGGGGAGAAGATGTCGGAAGATGAGCTGGCAGCCATGGTTGCCGAATTCGACAGGTATGTATGTCCCAGGGGGAAGGCCAAGGGTATGAGGGGCACGAAGGTGAAGTCCACTGTCTGACGCAACCGCCTTGATCTACTGTCGGACGCAACCGCCTTGATCCATGCAAACATGTGCAGGGACGGGGATGGCTGCATCAACGAAGAGGAATTCTTGCAGATCATGAAAGGGAGTGGGACATTCTAAGCTGCGAGGTGTGGAGGCGAGAGTCCTTCCACACGGATTATGCAGGTGGATGGCAAAAGTACGCTTCGATGCCAAGGTGAAAGCCTCGACGTTTGTCAGTATTCGCTGGACTATATATACATGGCGGGGAGGCAGAATTTATCTTTTCCTAGGGTGCCGAAAGAAAGCTGGGTGGGAGAGGTTTGGGTTTGGTTGTAAAGAAGAGAGGAGCGGTGAGTGTCCGGGCGCCGGGCCGAGACCTTCTCATTTCAAAGTATATTATTAGAGCACGCTGGTCCAGCGCTGAACGGATTCGGGGTGCAATAACACGTTTCGGTAGTCAATAGTGTCGGTCAGGAGACTGAACAGCACAGGGGCTCCGAAACAATAACCGCCTCATTCGACCCCATACATACGCCTGGATCTCTCGCGCTGAGTGGATTGGTTGTCCGTTGTTTCTTTTTTCGTTTTCGCAAGATAGCTTTGCGCTTCGCCGGTGCCAACCACGTGGACGGTCATTTTTCCCCCGACAAACGCCCCACCCGCCCTTGGCTACCCCACAAGGCACCTCTATCCTCTTTGTGCCACCTATCCTGTATGCAAGAGACGGTCCCTAAGATACTGCAGCTACTAACTCCTCCCTTTAATCGAACCAAGGCCGGGACAAGTCTTCCAAGGCCTCCCTCCTTCCTCCTCCCTCTTTACTAGACAGTTTCAAACCTCTCCTCTCCGCCAATCTTCTCCCTAGCCCTCCAAAGCCGAAGCCCCCGAGATGATCTCCACAAGCTCGGTAGTGATCCGAGACTGCCGGGCTCGATTGTATTGGATGGAAAGCTCCTTGATCAAGTCCTCTCCGTTCTTCGACGCGTTCTCCATCGCATTCATTCGGGAAGACTGCTCGGCCGCCGCACTTTCCAGCATGGAGGTGAACATGGTAGTGGCAATCGCCATCTCGTACATATCGTCCAGCACCTCCGTCTTGGTGTCGGGCTCGAATTCGTACTCCACGTAGGGCTCGCCAGTCAAGGCCGCAGGGGGGTAGAGCGTCTTCACCGTGGCTTCGTAGGCGATGGCCGAGCGGAACCGGTTGAAAACCACGTGAACCGCGTCCGCCTTGATCTGCGTCACGTCTTGCGCAAGGGCTGCGGCCAAGGAGAAATTGTACGGGGTCCCGGAGTCGGAATTGATTTGTGTGATAAATTCACCCAGCGGACGCCCCATGGTGGCGCGTCCTTTGTCCCCCACGATGAAAAGCTGCACGTCCTTCTTCTCCTTGTCCAAGGCCGGAACCATATGCTTCATGACACGGGCCAGGGACGAGTTGACGCCGCCGCAGAGGCCTCGGTCCGTGGTGATGATCACGAGGAGGTTGCTCTGCGGGAGCTTGTCCAGGCTTTTGGCAAAGTCCTCCAGCAAAACCGGGGGTGGGGTGAAGCCATCCACCCATTTCTGGAATGGGCGCCCTGCCTTGAGACGGTCCTCATCGCCGCGCATCTTGGAAGCTGCCACCATCTTCATTGTCTTGGTGATCTTGTTGATGCCTGCAGTCGACTTCATGCGTGCCGCAATTTCCTTCTCTGACGCCATCCCGCGTGCGACCATCCTGGAGTTGGGAAAAGCCACCGGCCAGAGAGGGCGACGATGAGTCAGACGACATTTAAATGGCAGGAAGAATAAGGAATGGATAGTTCAAGAAGTGACCCCGCAAGCGCACATGCGCAGCCCCGCATCTCTCAATGAGGGGACTTTCCTATCCGCTCGAGTTAAGTCGTACCTGGTGGCTCCGCCCAGGATGAGCCTTCGCGCGGCTTGATAGCCCAGACTAGCAGACATCTTCGTCTCCTGTGATGGTTGTTGAGGGATCAGTGTGGTTGCGTCGGTGGGAATGGTGAACGTGGAGAGGGAGGATTAAGCACGGGGCAAGACGGGGGCGGCAGGGTGCTGACCAGAGCGACCGTACCCCCTGAAAATTTCCGAAGCCGTTGATCCCCAGACTTGCAAGACATGCACACGACAACTACCGCGCACGCCAGGGCGTCAAGCGGGAAGGACGGTGGACGTTGATGATGGACAAGCAATAACGCGACTCGCGCGTTGGCTTGGCTAGAAACTGTCTTTTGCTTCCGAGTGGTAGCATGAGCAATAGCAGCCTGACAGGGGGCTGATACAAGCCCGTCGGCCGCGGGCCATATACTGCGTCCCGTGGAGCCTGCACATGAATGCTCAGGAGTCCTTTGTGGGTGTGTTTTTGTTGCTTTCAGTGTTTTGGGGAATTTTCACCCGGAGCATGGAAGCTTAGAATTGTGTTCCTGATTGCTGATCCTTTTTTTTCGGAACCTTTTCCCCCTAGACTCGTATACTCCTACCAGGCTCGATTCCACCAAGTCACATGGACTCCAGAGTGAGTCTCTCCGCAGACAACAGCACTGCAACAACAACAACTGCCACCACAAGCACTACTCTCTCTACCGTCAGCGGATCGGCCGACACTAATGCTGCGCAACGTCGTCGTCCAACATATTTCTTTCGCACTGCAGACTCGCTACCGGATGACGGATTTAGTCCCCGTTTAGAGGGTCGCTCGTATTTAAGTGAGGGGTTCCAAATGCTCCTGTGGTCCGTGGTACTTAACGGCTTGCTGGCACTAGTGGTACTGTGGCTGGTTGAGGGTTTGCTGCAACCGGTCCTGATAGCGATCCTTGAACTAACGCCCTCCCCGCGCACAAGCAAAGTCTTGACCGCACTTCTTACTGTCGTCTTACTTCAAGGCGGGGGGCAAGGATCGATAATATTACTGATGGCCTTGGGAATCTCAGCAGTGGTGGTGGGCATGTCTCAGTCCGACGGCGTCTTTGTACCTTGCTTTCTCGTCTTGCTCGTGTGTCTGGGGGCGGTTTTGCGGGAAGGCGGATGGAATGCGTATAAGAACGGGTCGGTTGCCTCACGTAACACGTGGGGAGATGCATCTCCACTAAGTGCTGCTTCAGGTGTTCTTAAGGCTTTCTCGGGAATGGGAGGTGCGCCAGAAGGGGGCCGGAGGAATTTATGGGGAGCCTAGTGTGGCAGAGGTGCGAAGCAAGAGGAATTCGAAGTTCGATCTGAGTACCGCAGGGTGTCAACAAACAGACTGAACATATAAGCACGTAACATGCGAACTCGAGGTGAGACGCGTCGTGGAATTGTGCTGCTTGTGGGTAGAAACGTGCAAGCTGAAATATTTCCCGCTCTGTGATATGTGCATATGACCCACGGCCTCCAGGCGACTGAGAAGGAAGAATCCATTAACTCTCCCGGAGAGGTAAAGATGAAGAACAAGTTCACAGCACACACCATCCACGTGAGGCTTCCAGCCAAATCCCAGACGCGTGTTGACAGATCAAGCAAGCCCCGCGCAAACATTGTCGCACATAGCTTTGACCCTGTTCCAGAATTTTCTTTTTGTGCGACGTCAACGTGGTCCTTTCCAATTGCTTCGACGGGTGTATACCGTCCCTATGTCCCTGAACAAAACTTGATCCGCGTCCTCACACCTCAAATGCCTTTTTACCTTTCCCGAAGCCTACAACGCCTTCCCTGTGCTACAACAAAAGAGTCATGGGCTCCTCCACCAGGCTTTTGAAGGCACTCAGCCACTGCGCACCTACAGCACCATCAATCACCCGGTGGTCACAGCTCAACGTCACTGTGACCCCGGGCACGACACGGTAGACCTCTCCCTCCCCCTCCCCCGCTGCTTCCCCCTTCAGAGGCGCGGCGGCTGGCACCACCCGGTTTTCGATTGCCCCCACGCCCAAGACACAGGCCTGGGGCAAGCTGACGATCGGCGCGACGGCCTTCACACCGTACATACCCACATTGATCAAGGTAAAGGTGCCAGTCTGGAGCGCCTCCTCTGACAGCTCGCCCCTCTCTGCGCCGCCTACAAGCCCAGCCACTTCGGCTGACAAGGCCCGCAAGCCCTTGCTGTCCACATTGCGGATGACGGGAGCGAGCAGCCCATCTCCGACACCCAGAACCAAGTTCACGTCTACGGCGTGGTATTGCCTGACGAAGTCGCCGTGCCAGGACGCGTTGGCCTCCGGGACTTTCTTGCTCGCCAAGGCCGCCGCCTTCAAGAGAAAGTCGTTCACGGACAGGCCCATCTCCTTCTCGCCCAGCTCCTTGTTCAGCGTCTCTCGCAAGGACAGGAGCTTGTCCAGCTCCAGGTCCACAGTCAGGTAGTAATGTGGGACGGTCTGCTTGGCCACCGTCAGGCGCGCCGCCACTCCCCGCCCCGCCTCCGACACCCGGTAGTCCGTGAACCCCGCGCCGTGTATGGGGGCACCGGCCACCTTCTCCACGGTGGAGGCGTGTGCAGGCGCGCTGGCCCGAACTGCTTCGGCCGGAATCGTTTCAGTGGGCCTCTCCGCGACGACGGGCGGGACGTATTCGCGCACGTCCGCTGCCAAAACCCGCCCGTTGGGTCCCGTGCCAGGGATCGCACGTAGGTCGTGACCGAGCTGTCCCGCGAGGGTCTTGGCCAGCGGACTGGCGAATACGCGGCCAGGATAACCCAGCAGGGAGACGCCGGCGGCGGCCGAGGTCGGAGGGGAGGAAGGGGGGGAGGGCGGCGGAGACGGCGTCGAAGGGGCAGGCGTGGAGGCGGCGGGGGAAGGGGCGGCTGCCTTGGGGGGCGCCGGTTCTGCCGCGTCGGGGGAAAAATTGGCAAAGGCGGCCACATTGGCGGCGTCCTCGACTGTGACCATGATAGGTTGCCCGACACGGACTTCTCCGGCACTTGGCTGGACAAGAATCTTGGCAAGAATGCCCTCATCCTGAGCATCAAAGGAGACCACGGCCTTGTCCGTCTCTATCTCACATATCACATCACCAGGGCCGAAACTGTCTCCTTCCTTCTTCGTCCATGAGGCGATGGTTCCGTGTTCCATGGTGGGAGAGAGTGCGGGGAGGCCTACCACTTGGTGCGGCGGCAAGGAGCTGAACAAACGCTGCGGAGAGGACAGCGGGGCTGCTCCTGGTTGGAAACAGGCTAGTCTCGATACCTGAGGGAACGTTGAAATCCTGCTGCTTCTTTTGCCGCAGCTAATGCTTCTTCTACCGTGCGGGAATACTGGTGAGGCCGGAAGCGGTCCGTGCTCCAGGAGCCGACCCAAAGAGCTTCTCGACTTCCCAGTACCGGCGCGCAATCCATTGGGGAAGAGGCACAAGTGAACGACCCGGCGACTCTTGCCCAGCCAAGTCATGTTCAGAGGGATGCCTGTTGCCGAGGAGTGGTGTAATGAGGGTGTGTACCGGCATTAAACGAAGATCATCATCGCCTTGCCAAACGCGAGAGACAAGTAGACTAGGAAAGGCCTGCAAAGGCCGGAAGTCGCATGATAATCCAACACATATGGCCCGCCGTCCATCTCTTCCCGTCAGAATCGTGACATGGTTGCGAATCAGACAGAATCAGCCAAATTGAATGTATAAAAAGATGGCTTGAGGGGGAGGAGATAACATCGCTAGACGGGTTCGTCTCTAGCCACAGCCAGGCTCGCCATGCGCCCGCCACTACAAAAGCATGACAGCATAAGCTCTTTCGTCGCGGGTTATGTGGGAACGAGAAGTTGCATACTGACTTCATGTCATGCCTTGCTCTTCGATTATGTCCGGTTGGTCATCTCGCGTCAACTTTCCAATGGAGTACTGCGACATCCCAATGGTGGGGATGCAGGGGAAGAGGCCTTCGGTCAGCTATTTCTTGCACCCACACGATCTCACACTCTTCATTGGAATACGTAAAATACAGGACCAAAAATAATAATAATAGGACTCCCGGATGCGGATCTAGGAGCTTCAGGGGCCAGAGGAGGGGTATAGCAGCGGTCATGATCGTGCCGCTAGGGGAGGCGAGGAAGAAGTTGCACGCATGGTTGCAGCAACAACTTCGGCCCTTGAGCGAAACGAGTCCCGCTATTCTCAGTAAATTCGTCTTGCAGCTTCTGGATGCGGCAGACAAGGAGGAAGCGGAGGTGCGGGCAGAATGCCTGCGGGAATTGGGTTTATATTTAGGTCAGTCCACAGTCCCCTTCGTCGATCATCTCTTTCAAGCCTTGCGGACCGGGAGCTATCGTGAGCTCTCGTCCGAGCCGGAGCAACAGAATGCGCAAGGGATATATGAAAAGGGCGGTAATTGGGATCGAGGCAGTGATGGCGAGGGAGAACGGAGTGATGAATACGAGGAAGCCGGTGGAGGGGATACCGACGAGGGGGTAGACCGGGGTGGGCACCGCGGTTCGCACGAAAGCCAGGAGTGGGACATTTTGTACGAAGAGGGCACCGATGCCGTCGGGCATGGGTACAGCACGGGAGATGGCATGGAGCAAGACCTGAAGGCGTCGTCTGAGGTACAGGAGGAGGAGGATCCCTTTGCCCGGTACGACCGGGAGGACGCGGAGGAGGGCGCGGCCGAGGGCGGGCACCGGAGGCGGGCCAGCAGCGATGCGACCGCGTCGTCGGACGAGGAAGACGAGCGGCAAGGGGCGCGTCGCGGGACTCGGAGCTGGAAGAGGCGCGGGGTCCGGAGTCGGAGCGCGAGTCCTGATCGCCGAGTGCCCCCCCCC